GCCCCCCCCAACCCCCCCCCCCCCCAGGGCATCCAGAGTCCCGCCTGCACAGGGAACCCCACTGCTGTGCAACAGGGAGGTGAAATGTCTAAGGCACCAAGGCTGCCTGGTCTGCACTGGGATCTGACAGTGAGAACGAGGCCTGGCCCAGACAGCTCATCACACACACACCTTTTACTGAGCACAGACCCAGCATTGGTGGGCAGTGCGACCTGGGACCCCCTGCTCCTTGTTTACTTCTGGGTGCCATCATGGTCTGCAATTAACCAAGAGCCAGGCCCTAGGGTTTCAATGCCGCACCCCCAGCAGTAAGGCCAGACACAGAGCACGGAGTCATGGGGGGTCACACATTACAACTCCACACCAGGCAAAGGCTAGAGACGTATGTTTTATTTCTTTTAAGCAGTGCGACCTGGGACCCCCTGCTCCTTGTTTACTTCTGGGTGCCATCATGGTCTGCAATTAACCAAGAGCCAGGCCCTAGGGTTTCAATGCCGCACCCCCAGCAGTAAGGCCAGACACAGAGCACGGAGTCATGGGGGGTCACACATTACAACTCCACACCAGGCAAAGGCTAGAGACGTATGTTTTATTTCTTTTAAAGTAGAGCTGAGAGTCTCCCCCAGTCTCAGGACTCCAGGAGCTGGGGCTTTAAGGGAGCAGCAAACACCATGAGACTTGGCAGCGCTGCAACTGGCAGCCTGATCCCCTCCTGTATCTCCCCCCCCATTACAATTTCCAACAGCGTCTGAACTTCCCCAAGTCCTTGTTCCATGAGAAGCTGCTCCCGGCGAGCAGTCAGAGCCCCAGGGCGGTTAGGGGAATAGACTCAGCCCTAGGGGTACTCCTCAGTGTCTGAGACTGGCAGGAGCAGCGTGTGTGTGTGTCTCTGCATAGTGAGTCAGGTCCACTATGAAACCCTCCCTTTCCACATCCCCACGCGGTGTGTATGGAATTTCCCCATTTTACAGACACACTAACACAGTTCCCTCCAATCAGCACAGACCGATGTATGTGGGGTTCAGTTCTAAGTATCACAAGTCAGTGTGGGGGGGAGGGTCCTTTGAGCTCACGGAGGAGGAAACATCAGGAACATCCCCATGTCTCCTCTGCTTTCCCTTTAGGGGAGATTCCCTACCGGGTTCTGTGGTTTGGGTCTGATTCCTTACTCATTTTTGCTGGAGAATTGGCTCGGAGATGCCCTGTGGAGTTGAGTTTGAAAATGTCATGTTTCTTTGCATGGCTCCCTTTGCTCCCCAAGGGGGGAGGGGCTCAGACCTGGGGGTTTGGGAGGTTCCTATCCCCCCTTCTGGCTGGGGCATGTTTCCAGCTGTGGCTGCTCCTGCTTTGCTTGATCCACCTTATCCACTTACACTGGTGGCAGCAGCTGTCGGATGTTTTCTCTCTCAGATGCCCTGAGCTGGTTTTTCCCACTTGCTTGTTTCCAGGGACACGGGAAGACACAGGCACTGGGGCTGTTTCTCCTGTGGCAGGTGACCCTGTGTTGTTTCTTGCTCCTTCCCCCTTGCTGGCACCAGGGGCTCTGGGAGATCCCTGACTAAGTGACTCTTAATTCTTGGGGACATGATTGTCACTGGGAGGGCGGATGCTGAGGGGCTTCCCCTCATTCCTCCCTGCAGCTGAACCAGGGCCATGGAACGGGAACAATGTCTCAGAACTTTCCACATGAATCTTCAGGATAAGGGTCATTGAACTGACACTGTAAAACAAGAGACTCCCTCCGTCTACATCCAGAAACACCCCAACCACAGCTAGGGTCACAGCCCAGCTCTGGATCACAGTGGATCAGAGCCCACAACCCTCCTTGGGAAAACTCTCCAGCCCCCCATGACTCAGTGTGCCCCTCACAGGCTCACTCAGCATCCCCAGCTCCCAGGCTGGGCTGTCCCCCACATCTGTCTCCCAGTACCACCTGAAACCCCACCCTGCCCACCATGATGCCTGGTGGTGACAAGCCCCTCCTTCCCCACAGCGACAAGGGAACTGGAGGGGCCAGCTGACCTAGTGGATGGGGGTTCCTGCAGGGCTGTTCTGCCATATACAGACATGGCGAGTCCAGGGTGTTTGCATTCTGGATCCAGGGTGACGGGAACTGGGGAGAAAAACCAAATTAATTTCCATTAGCCACAGGTTACTGGGAATGTTACCTCCTCCTATTTCTGTGCCGGGCAATCCCTGTGTGGTGTCATTGGCATAAATGGGCGTCTCTGGGCTCAGTGGCTGGCAGGAGCTTATTTGAGGAAGGGCCCCATGGGCCCGGGTGGACCTGGATTTACTTCCCACCCCTCCATTCCTAATGGAAAAAAGTGGCTGGGGGGGTCCTGAAAGTGCACAGCACAGAGCCCTTACAGAGCATGGGAAGCCCAAGACTAGAACAGGGAAATGGGGGCAGCACACAGGACCTGAGGGCTGGGCTAGTAGGGAAGCTGTGGGTGGGGACTGAGGGATACAATGGAGCTGGGGCTGGGGGAGGAAGCCTGGGGCTGGACTAGCCAAGGGCTGCAGGCAGGACTCCAGGCAGTGCGAGGACAGGCTGTGCGAAGGACACCATGCAGAGCTCTGGGCAGCACTGAGCAAGGCAAAGCAGCTGATAGGTGGGATCTGGCTTTCAGGGGGCCTGTGGCTGCCTCGGAGTTCCCTGCAATTGCAAGGCTGGCAGAGCCTAATGCCACCGCTATCTGCAGGGCAGGATTAAGAATCTCGGGCAGGTCTGTGGGGACAGTGAGCCCAGGTCTGGGATAGCAGAGTGCTGCTGGTGGGGGATGAAGGGCAACAGCAGAACTGAGTGCACATGGGGATCCCAGCTCAGGGACTGTAGGGGTCAGAATTCAGACAGTCCCAGAATTGCAGTAGAAGTTTCCCCAGCCCCTCACTATACCCCACAGATCCATGTGCATTAAATACACTCGGCGTCATTGAGGATGATGCTGAGTGAGCTGCCAACCCTGCAGAGTGTGAATATTTCTAGGGCAGAGGGAGATGACCATGAAGAGATTTCATTCCATACCTCGGGTGTGGGGATTTTGCAATAGCATTAGAGCGTGAAAACACAGAGAAACATTTTCAAACGTGAAAACACAGAGAGACAAGTTGTCCAGGTACCTGACTGCAGCCGCTTGATTTCATTCTCCTTTGACTCTGAAATGGGGAAGATAACAGACTGAGATGCAGAATCTCGCTGGGTGAGGCCCTGTGCCCCAGTATGACCAGAGTTAGTTACAGACACCCACAGCAGAGTCCCATCGTCGGAGCAGGAGTCAGCAGCCTGCTAGGAGTGGGGCTAGCAGTTAGTGATGCACACCAACACACTGATGCCCTGGGTTTGGCAAACCATCTGACCGTGAGGGCAGACGTGGGTCTCGATCCTGATACTTGTGACATTCCCAGCCCTTTCGTCTCAGGGGAAATCCTTGTCTGCATTTCTGACAGCCCTTTGGGGCGCCCATACTGTGTCCTACAGATCTAACTAGAGGATGGGGATGCAGACGATTGGGGCTCACGTCTGAGATCGGGCCTTGGTGACAAAGCAAGGAAACGTGAGCCATGTTCTAGCAGTGACACAGCAGCACCTGCGCTGCAGCAGACGTCTACAGAAAGTGCCTGGCTCCCTTCCCTGCATCAGAACAACATGCTTGGCATTGGATTGGGAAAGGTCAGGTGACAGCCCTGTGCTGTTGGTGTTTCTGGATCTACACAACATCATGTGAGGCCTGGAGCCTCTGCCCAGGGACTCTAATGGGGAGGTGGATGAACTTACCCAGGTTCCGACTCAGCTCCCGGCATTCTGGGGAGAGAGGGAAAGGGAGACAATGAAGGGTTCATCAAGGGGAGGTTTGAGAGGTGGGAGGTGGGTTATTCCAATCTGTGGTACCTGGGCACTGCCTCTGGTGCTGAATCTCACACTGTGAGTGGAGCTGCAGACTGTGACCCTGCCCAATACATTGTGCCACACATGGAAGGATATGTGGGTGTAGCGGGGCAGCGCTGTGGGCTCGCTGCTCAAGGAGAAGCCTTCTCGGACACCCTGTGCAGCTACTCAGATGGTGACTCTGAGCTTGATCCCTGCTGCTCTGGCCACTCTGCTACCAGGGCACCAGCTCACACAGAGCCAGTTGGTGTCTGGCTTCCCAAGCTAGGAAGCTCGCTCCCAGCTGTAGTGTAGACGCATGCAAGTGGCTCAGCCCAGAAATAGTGCTTTTAGTGAACAAGATCAGCCCCTAAACAGAGCCCACACATTGTCCCAGGGCAGCTTCCCCAGGTACTGGCACGGCAGGGAATGAAGGGACGGACCATCACATCAGAACATGTATCCCACAGAGAGACCTGCCCAGTAACAGCCTCTTATTTCTGTGTCGTGCAATCCCTGTCTGAGGCTGTGGAGCCGATGTGGACAAGGGTGTGGTCAATGGCCAGCAGGAGCTCAGCCCTGGGAAAAGGACTCTGTGGGATGTGTGGGGGGAGGTCTAGGCTGAATATTAGGAAAAAACAATTTCCCTAGAAGGGTGGTGAAGCACTGGAATGGGTTCCCTAGGGAGGTGATGGAATCTCCATCCCTACAGGTTTTTTCAGCTTGACAAAGCCCTGGATGAGTTGATTGAGTTGGGGTTGGCTTTGCCTTGGGAGGGGACTGGACTCAATGACTCCTAAGGTCTCTTCCAGCCCTAGGCACGGGCAGTTTTTCTCCCATTGGGACCCCTACAGGCTCAGTTCTCTCCCAGCACCGTGGTACGTGGCTGTGCGAGGTGACTCTGGGTAGGGGACACAATTCAGAGCTCTGGGCAGCCCTGAGCAAAGGTCTGGTAGGTGAGGTCTGGGCTTTCAGGGGGCCTCTCACTGCATTCGGGTTCCCTGCAGTTGTACGGCT